TCTGTGACATCACACCCAGCTGAGCCACAGATGAGGGCTGGAAGATTGGGGTGAGTGGCTGAGAGGGGGGTAGGTCACTCTCTTCTTCTGTCCCTAGGACATGGCAGACGCCTTGGCCTGTGGCTCCAGCTCCCCGGCCGAGATACTACAGTGCCTTCGGCAGAAGGAAGGAGAAGAGCTGATCCTGACCTGGAAGAGGGTGAGCCCACCCTGCTGGGGCCAGTGCCAGGCCATGGCACAGAGGGGTTGTGTTCACCTCCTGTGGGAGCAGAGGGGCAGTTTGCTCCTAGGTGAGGCTTGGGACAATCAGGCATGACAGGAGGGGCTAAAAGGCCCAACTAGGCCTGGGGACAAGAATGAAAGGTGACTCCCAGCCATCAGGGCAGGCTCTGTCGTCTAGAGAAGAGACCTGCTTAGAACTGTTAGTGTCCTGGTCTCCTGACTCCCCCTGGGCCCCCTAACCTTGGTGATCTCCATCTCCCCACTTTCCCTCAAGGCTTAGGCACTCAGGCACACAGCTAGGTGCACCCTGGGTTCCTTTCTTAGAGGCTGGGTCCTGACTTGAGGGTCTCCCACCTTCCTTTCTCCTGTAGAAAACTACTCTGACTGCTTTCACTGTCGATGGCATCTTCTTTCCCAAAAGCCCCAAAGAGCTCCTCAATGAGAAGCAAGTCCACTCTGTGCCTGTCCTCCTGGGTTTCAACAATGACGAGTTTGGCTGGCTCGTCCCCAGGGTGAGTGTCCTCCAGCACCTGTGCCCTTGAAGCCTCTGCCCCAACCTGTCTTCCCAACCCATCTTTTTTCACCTAAGTGTGAGCTGAGCACTCTGATTCTCATTTCAGAGGTGAGGAAGCAGAGGCCCTGAAAGGTTTGGGAGACTTGCTCAAGGTCACCCGGCTACATTTTCACAAAGCAAGAAATTCTGTTTGGGGATGAAGCTTTTGCACAGACTGGCCTTGAGGGCATGGCTGATCCACATCATACTGTATTCCTGCCTTGGTGTCTGGTTTACACATCAGGCTCTGTTAGTGTGACTCTGTGCCTGAGAGACTGACTACCTAAGACTCTCATGTCTCAGACACCAAGCCACTGGTGACCTCACAGACCAAATACCCTCCAGTCCCTTCTTGGTGCACAGAATGCCCATAAGGGGCAACATCGTGCTTTCATCCTGAGCATCTTGTAATTTCATTCTCACTCTCCTACCCATTGATCATTTTGAATGGCTGCAAACTCTTCCACGAAGAGAGGGTCCCATCTTAATGTTCCTTCATTTAGGTATTTGGGCAGCTTCTAATTTTTACCACTGACGCATTAGTGCAGTGAACAACTCGGTATCCACAGCTATTGTCCTGGCTTTTGGAGGGCCATTTGCCTGCTATATAAGAGGCTCATACAATCTTGACACTCAGGACAAAGCTCATGGAAGTGGCCAGGCCAGTGCCTAGACTCTGGCATGCAGCCTTGTCCCTCACACTGTCTACCTGGAGTTATATGTGCCACAACAAGGGAGACCCAAGCAGGCTGCCTCTGAGACCTGGGAAAACCTGCCTGAGGTGACATGCTGTGCCCAGACTTGGAGCCAAGGTTGTTTCTCAGGAATGGGCTCAGAGGGCAACAGGCATTGCTGTGGGCATGAGCACAGTACAAATGTGTCAGCTCAATATCTATGGTGGCCAGGTGCGGTGGGGGGCCTGTAGTTCCTTGTACTCTGGAGGCAGAGGTGGCAGGATCCCTTGACCCCAGGAGTTTGCTACTGCACTGCAAACAGCCTCGGTGTCCAGCCTGTCTTTAGGGGGGGAAAAAAAAAAAGAGGGTCCGAGGCCTGTAGCTCAAGCGTGGCTAAGGCACCAGCTACATACACCAGAGCTGGCGGGTTCAAATCCATCCCTGGCCTGCCAAACAACAATGATAACTACAACCAAAAAACAGCCGAGCGTTGTGTCATGCGCCTGTAGTCCCAGGTACTTGGGAGGCTGAGGCAAGAGAATTGCTTAAGCCCAGGAGTTGGAGGTTGCTGTGAGCTGTGATGCCACAGCATTCTACGCAGGGCAAGAGCTTGAGGCTCTGTCTTAAATAAATAAATAAATAAATAAACAAAAGTTCTTGGGGACAGTTTTAGCCATGGATGCAAAATAATTCATACCCCTTATGGGAACCTCTCTACTGTTTACATATTGCTGCTGACACGGCACTGTCAGACATCACTATGCCAGTTTAAATTGCCACCAGCAACTTGAGCCTATAAACTTTTTGCAACCTTACCAGCATTTGCTGACCATAATTTATATTTTTTAATATGTCATCTTTATTGAGATATAATTTATATAAACTTCACCCTCGTATAGTGTACAGTTCAGTGATTCTTAGTGTGTTTACGAAGTTGCGTGACCATCACCACCATCTTACTGCAGAACCTTTGCATCATTCTAAAAAGCAGGCCCATACCCAGTCTCCCTCCCTCTGACCCCGGCCTCCACGAATCTACTGTCAACTTTATTGATCTTCCTATTCTGGGAAATTCCTGAATCATACACATGTGGCTTTTTGGGTCTGACTTTTATCACCAAACTTGGCGTTTTCATGGTTCATCCGTGTTATAGCAAATATCAGTATTTCTCTCCTTTTTGTGGCTGAATAGACCACCACATTTCGCTTATCCATTCAATTGCTAGTCAGCATTTGGTCTGTTTCCACCTTTTTTGCTATTAATGGATAGTCATGGATGACTATTTATGCACAATTTTAAAAAAATACATGTATTTCATTCATTCCCGTTGGTCACAGATGTTGGTTGTGTAATGGAGTCTTATTTTGATTTGCATTTTATCAAGTACGGCTTCATTCTTTTATTTCAGCATGCGCTGAGGGATTTGCATTTCTTTAATGGCTAAAAATGTTGA